TCTTGTTAATAGGCATTAACCACTCTCATAATTGTGGGTAATTGCAAGCTGAATCCAACGGATACATTCGAGAAATATCGCGCTCCTCTTTACGATAACGGAATCAAGCCAGCAAAAAGTAGCGATGCTCACAACAAGATCAGAAATGACATCGCCCAAAACAGCACAGCCGCCACCATAACACCTGACGGCTGCAAGGTACTTGTTAGCGAAATCAAAGCACAAACTACAGGAGAATTATTCTTATATGTGAATGACGCGGTGCTGATGCTGCCCGGAGTCACTGATTTCTTTTATCGTAATAATACCGGCACCGCTAAGGTCACAGTCGAGCCGGTGTTTACATCATCAGTGCCTAAAAAGTAAGGCACACAGGGAGGCTATTACAGTCTGAGGGGTATCACATGACTACTTCAATCCGCTTAGTCCAAGCAACCGAGAAACGGCTTAATTCTCTTGTTTCACATACAGGGCGTACTAAAGCTTACTACCTACGCGAAATTATCGAACGAGGCCTTGAAGATATAGAGGACGGATATCTATCTGCTGCCATGCTTTAGCGTGTGCGCAAAGGACAAGAACCATTTATTCCGCTACCGATATAAGGAAAGACTTTGGCCTGGAAGATTGATTACACCGATACGGTATAGTGGTATCGGATATGTATTCCGATGCAATACAAAATGAGGTAAAAATCTGATAAATATACGGTATATGACTGTCCTTATTGTCGCTATAAAAGGCATAAATATAACAACCTTCGATAGATTCAAAACGCTGGGGCAGTATTTTGCGAGTGACGAAGGGGCTATCTACAGCATCGCTTGCTAAAAAAAAGCACGGCGCACGTAACAAATGTTCTCGTCAGGCTAAATAAGACTTTTCCTTCCTTAAAAATGCATCAGTTTGCCTGGCTTAATCGCGCGGTTAATTATAGGAGAGCTGCTATGTCAGAACACAGAGATGGCCATCGCAATAGGCAAGGTTTCGTGACGATGGATCCAAAGCGTCAACATGAAATAGCTTCCAAAGGTGGACAGGCTGCTAAAGAAAAATGGACTGCACATCACTCTACTTCAGAAGAAGCACATGAAGCAGGGCACAAGGGTGGGAAGGCCACTCAAGAAAAAAGGCACCATTAAGAGGGAATTTCGCTCTTATTTAAAATCAAACTTATTCAACAATATTCCCTCCTTCGTCTGTCATTAATATGGACTAGTCCTTGTCAAGAAACCTGTTTGTAACGACTATAAAAAGTAGCCCCAAAAAGTTAGACATTGGTCTGATCTTTTGGGGTTTTTCATTAATGCCTACCGAGTTTTATTTCTTCATAGCATCATCGATCTACTTTATTCTTCAAATTGTCCAAATAGGACATCTTCTTTGCTATATAACGAAATATTTGACAAAATCCAGAATTAAATCTTATAGGGTAATTCCGCGATGACCAACTTCTCAAGCATTTCTCATAAAGCCCACGTTGTATCACACTCGAATGGCACTATAAAAGAGAATGGCTCACCATCTGCATCATGCTCTAGTAGCGGTAAAGAAGGAAATGAATTACGAAAAAATTTAAAATCCTCTAATGCTTTATTTAAAAATAAATTAGAAGAAGAAAATTTTTTAAAAGGAGATTATGAGTTCTCCTATGAGTTAAGTAGACTGCGTGAAACTGTAAATTTAAATCAATCACAGAAAATTAGCATTCCTCTAGGAGTACATATTCCCAGCGTAGCAGATTATTTGATCAAAACACCGGAGCACACCAGAAAAGACCCAAAAATCCTAAGAGAATTAGGTCTACTAAAAGAAGAGCAATTTGGCAAAGTAAAGTTAAAACCAGCGCACGAAGAGCATCTTCTTTCCAATGGTGTCATATTACATTTAGTGTCTGGGGCCACAGTCGATCTCCAAGCTTTCTCTCATGTTCCAGAAAAGTATGTTAAATCGGGAATTTTAGAGGTTATCAATGATGAAAGTCTTGATGAAAATTTGGATAAAAGTGAAAGCATTATTACCAACATGGTAAAAAGTGGACTCTTTGTAAATATCTATAGTGGCATTCCTTTCAGAACACCATTACATGAAGCCGCTAGCTCAGGACTTTCCGATATAGTCGGAAGACTGCTTGAAAATAGTGCAGAAGCCTCACTTAATCTAAAAGACGAAGATGGATACACGCCTCTAGATTTAGCTGGAGAAGATGTTGAGATAGTTTCAATTTTAAAAGCACATCTCAAAAAATGCACTCTCGACTCATTTTCAATGAAGACTGCCTAATAAATTCAGCGAATTGCGCACAAAAATGTCGTCAGAGGCTCAGGCACGTTCTGCTGCACGCACCGAAGCCATACTTGTGGAAATGCAACTCCAAGAGCTGCGCGAAGCTAGGCAGTTAACGCCAATCGAAATTGCGAAAACTATGCTTGAAGCATTACAAGAAAAAATGAAGAAGGCAAATGTGTTCGTGCGGCGTAAAGTTGGACACCAGACGCGCAGCGGCTTGATGGCTTGACTTAATGGCATTGATAAACAGCCCAGTGCTGCATGTGTTTTCACGCATACGCAGTACCGGCATGACAGCAAAAGTTACAGTAAAACCATTAGAAAAAAAGCGTAGCGTTTATTTTAATATCTCAAGGACGTAAAGATTCGTGCGTAAAGGTGTAAGATCGTTTACTAGTTCTTTGCACACTTGTTCTATCAGAATTTAACGTCAATGGATTTGATAAAAAAACATAAAACCATACTAACCATTACCAATATAGGGATATGCAATGAAATACATGTCAATACTGGCTCTTTCTCTAATGTTCTCCGCTTCCGCCTTTGCTGCAACACAAATCACACAGGGAGAGTCTACTGCTTATGTCCAAATAGGTCTGCACTCTATCGACCGAGCAGGCGTACCTCCTCTTGGTCAAATAGAATTATCACGAAAAGCGGATCAAACCTGCCAAATGCACGGAGTGGCAATTAGTAATTGTTATTACGTCGTTACCGATAAAGCACCTAGAGAACCAAACCATCAAAAAATTGATCTTGCAATTTTCAAAAAATAACATGGATGTGTTCTCCACCCTACATAATAAGAAGGCTATGTAGGGCGGAGTTACTTTAGCCCGACACATATCGCCGGGTGCCAATGTAGTCTGATCGAATCAATGCCTGCTTGGCAAATAATACAAAGGGCAGGAGAGGCAGACCATTCCTAGTGCAGCGCTATCCCGCGGCAGACTTCGGTAAACTTTATCGCAGCCGTTGGGGCATAGAAGAAGAATTCAAACTCGTTAAACAACGCCAACATCTTGAAGGCTTCAGCGGTGAATTGCCGGCGTCCATCGAGCAGGAAATCCAAGCCAAGATCATGTTGCATAACATCGTCCAAGCGGTATGTCATAAGGCTCAGCAAAATGCGCCACCAGACAAACAAGCCAACTGTGGGAACAAATTAATCTGGAGGAACGTTCAGCTTGGATTTATCCAGATCAAGCTAAGGGAGGTGAGGGGGATACCTATGCCACTCAACAAGATAGCTTGTGGGTATTAGCAATTTCCGCTGGCATGATTTGCAGCATACCTGGGCGACTTGGTTGGCAATGAAAGGCACCACTCTTTCTGAATTACAGGAGCTTGGGGGATGGAAATCTGCCTCAATGGTGAGACGTTACGCACATTTTTCTGCGAGCCATCTAGCGCACGCATCGGCTAGGCTTAATGGGATGTTGGATGCAGCATAAATGAGGGCAAAGAGATTCTATTCACGTTGCCACATTTCAAAAAAAAGCCTTCCGTCTGGAAGGCTTATAAACACTGGTGGCCCGAGGCGGACTTGAACCACCGACACACGGATTTTCAATCCGCTGCTCTACCGACTGAGCTATCAGGCCACAACTATTGAAGGGCGCGAGTATAGCAAAGGGAAATGCGCTCCTCAAGCTTTTCTGTGCTTATAGAGCATTAATTTTTGGTTTTTATTTGTTTAGGGCATTTTTTGTTTGATTTCGCTTGTTTTTGCATTGCTTGAGGTGGGCGTGGGGCCACTCACATCCCGAACAGAGGTTAAAGAACTTATTCGCAGCATAGACAAATTAATGTATTTTGTTTGCCGCGATATACACTAACCTACTAAGCGCCCTGACGCGGGAGTTATCTCATGCATGCTATACCAGTGCATTTCCCTTTGCTATACTCGCATCCTTCAATAGTTGTGGCCTGATAGCTCAGTCGGTAGA